GTCATTGACTAAATCTTGGACAGGAGACTCTAGGAGACACTAAGTTGAGAAAATCTAAAGAAGCTTCAAGCTAAGCATTGAAATGATGTATTATGCAAAACTAAAGTTGATGAATTCTTAAGATGGATCAAAGCCATAGAATAATAACAATTAATTTGTTTTTATGGGTTATCAACCCTTTGTGGCTTATTTAAAGGGAAAACATTTTTTTGATTTTAGGAGCTTGCTTACAGTACCTGGTGTTCCCAAATGGTCCCCCATCTAAGTACTAACTGAGCTCAACATAGCTTAACTTCAGCAATCAAATGAGAACTGGTGTTTTCAGTGTGATTTGACAGTAGGCAAATAATAACCAGAGTACCTAAAAAGATTTTAACAGAATGTAGTTAATTTTAGTTGTTGGTTCCATAGATATTGCAAATAATATCTTCCTTATGTACAGGATGCGATGGATAAATTGTCATATAAATTATATAAGAATGATAATAACACTGACATCTGATTTTAACATATATATTTACCAAAATAACATAAAAATATCTTGAAATACTAAAGAGTAGATTTATAAAATCACCATTAGCTTCAAATATAGCCTCCAGACAATTTCAGAATCTCCTGCATCTCTTCTGGACAGTCTCTTTGTTTAAGTTGGTGAATGTTGCCATAATCCTTGCCTTCAGTTCATTTATAATGTCACAAGAAGTTTTGTTGGTCTCTCACTCAACTGTGCCCCTCACATAATGATCAAGAGGTATGTAGTCTGGGGAGTTAGGTGACTAAATGCAAAAGGTTATGTGGTTGCAGAAATTGCCTGACAGCCATAACTGGGTTCTCCTGCTAGTGTGGCATGGTGCAGAGTCCTGTTGCCAGACATAGGGTCTTCCAGAGGCCACCATCTTGACCCAAGGCAGCACTACCTCCTTAAGGCATTTAATGTAAGCCTCCATGTTGAGTCTGAGGCTCTGTGAGAATATTAATGGAGGCTTAATATTGTTGTCACTAGTGTTCACTCCAAACACCTTTGTAATCACTCATCCAACTCTTTCCAAATCCTCTGCATTGTCCTCAGATTGACACCCAAATACTCTCAAATGTTTGTTGGAGTTTCTGTATAGAATGCCATTTCCAGATTTCTGGCAGAGGGAATTACATCATGGTTCTCTTTTTCTCACAGATAGCACCCAACTGACCTTACTGTACTGTACAGTTGACAAAATCAACAACAAACAATGTGCATGGGTAAAATTAAAAATATAAAATTGCAGCAATTTACCCATTGCAGCCTTTAGTGGATTCCCTTAGTCTATAGAATTATTATATATTCTGCATTCAACTTGCACAGCTCTGCCCAGATTCACTCATATTGGCCACTCTCTTTGTCTCTTCTTTCTGGCAGGTTTTGTAGAACTCACTCAAAGTGTGCTATGCACTTGTATATATAGAAACCAAACTACTGGCTCATCACTTGTGATATACTGGAATATTTCAACTATTAATTTATATTTTTTCCTTTCTTCTGTTAACTACTTAATTACTGATAACCTACTCCCCGAAAATTCTTCTTATAAAACCACCAGCAAAAAATGTCTATATAAACCAACTCTATGGTGCATTGGCTTTAGCTAATTCTTTATTTTTCTCTGGAAAACCATTACTCTAAAAATATTCTACCCAAGAAACAATCCAATGGTTAATTCTTTATATAAACAACTGTAATAGGAGTGACAGTGACTTACCAGGAGCAAAGCGAATGTTTAACCATTCTCTGAGAGTCGGTCGCTGGGCGGCTTACCGCCATTTTTATGCAGCAGACTTATTTGCATAAGAGAACCACGCTACCGATTAAAAGCGAGTGGACGGGAGAGGCCACTGCTTTTCTAGGCTTCGGCGAGACTAGACGGATTGCAGACAGAAAGCGACTTCTGACATACGACAAGCTATTTCGGCAAACATGGACGGCCGGGTTTGATTTAAAGATAATTCCCAGTTTGACGGGACTGGATCTGTGGTTGAATGGCTCGAGAAATTGAATTGTGTGCGACCCATCGGGAGTGAAGCGGCTTGATCGTGTCATCCCCAATTAACCAGGGAGCATTGCGGGTTTACCAGCAACTATCTACGGAAGAGAAATCGGACGTGGCTCGAATCAAGGGGAGCATTGATGACAGCATTTGCCCCTGATAAATTTAACACCCGGGAGGCACGTATTACGTCCGGTGAGACCAGATGTATATTTGGCTGATCTACGGAAGCTCTCCGTCCTTTTTGGAGGAGTGCCAGACAGTGCGATGGCATGTTCGCGGGGGCTTCCTGATCCTGTGAAAGGCTCCTGCGGTCTCGGCCAGGGCGGATGATATGTCTCGAGGAGCTATTGGCCCCAAGCTCGGCAATCATAAAGGACGAGACAGCAGAGAGGGAACTAGTCGCCTGCGGTGCAGCCCTCCCAGATTCCCGTTCTTCCCCAGACATGGGCCCACTTGTCACATGCTATGAATGTAATGGGCCCCAATCAAATGAGGGACTGCATGTTTTCGAAGGGCAACTAACGACGTTGCTATTGCAACAAGATCGGTCATCTGGCCAAAAATTGTCCGGGGAAACGGAGGCGGACGAGACTTCAGCGCCGGTCCACCCCAAACAAAGCAAATTTTAAGTTATCATTACTGTGTTGACGGCACACCATGCTCGGCTCTCCTTGATTCAGGGTGCTCGTGGTCAATCTTGAGAGTTTATGTCGGTCTTGGTCGAAGCATAATATCTTAACCGGAGCCACGAGGCTTGCTGTGGAAAGGGCACCGGAATTTGCACAGCAACTGGTAATACTGCTACAATCGATGTGCTGGTTATGCGAGGGAAACCCTGGATTTTCGACCTGTTGCTTGGCATCGGCGCCATTAAGGCACTTTCGGTGGACATCACGCAGCATGGAAGCGTGGAGTTTGAAAACCACGGTCCGCCTGTGCAGCGATTCAGATCAGCAAAATTTCAGTGTGAAATTCAATGAACGGCAGGAGTTTGGGTCGCAGCCTGGAAGTGGTCGGCAGGTCATGCACCAGGAAACTTCAGAATCGGATCTCTGAGTATCCAGTATCCACCGAGATGAGAGAGGAGTACGAGCATGAATTACAAACATGGATGGACAATGGTTGGTTGGTGCCGTACAGTAACAAGGAGTTTGGCCCGCCTAAGGACTGATACCACTGATGGCCGTGCTGCAGACCAACAAGCATAAGCAGCGTCCTGTGATGGACTATAGGGAACTAAATACCCACGTTGAAACATTCACAGGTGTCATGGATGTTTGCGCAGAAAAACTGTAGACTGGAGACAGCATGGTGCGTAACGTGTCCATTCTGGACCTCAGGAAAGCATATCTACAGATTCGTGTTGAAAAATCCCTGTGGCCATATCAAACAGTTGTGTTTAAAGGGAAGAGATATTGTTTGACCAGGCTGGGGTTCGCCTGAATGTGGCGCCCTGATAATGCGAAGCTGTGCTTAATGCTGTGTTAGCACAGAATGAAACTATAAATAGAGCAACGTCTGCATATATTGATGATATATATATCAACGAGGATGTGGCGTCATGTCTGAGGAAACATCTCAGCTCCACGGACTGACGAGCAAGGATCCAGAGAAGTTACAGGACGGAGCTAGAGGCTGGGGCTAGAAGTATGGAAGGAACAGGGTCGACTGCGATGGCGACGAGGAAGCAGAATGGTAGACGGCCCTATGACTATGACACGGAGAGGTATTTTCTCCATGTGTGGCGGCTGGTGGGACACTTCCCCGTGTGTGGATGGCTGCGAGTGGCGACAGGCGTCATCAAACGTGCCACCGCCGTAACGCAGAACTGGGACGACAAACCCCAGGATGCTCCCCTGAACGATGATAACGGACACCATTGCCCGGCTCAGCAACTGGATCCTGCACAGGGAGAATGGTGCGTGAATACGAAGGAGCTAGACGGTGGGTGGACGCGGAGTTCGCTGGCTGTCGGAGTAGCGCTCGAGGCTAAGGAGCTATCATCGAGGACGATGCTGGCTACGGCCGATAAAAAACACCCAGCATATCAATGTGGCTGAACTGGATGCCGTATTGAAGGGAATCAACCTCGCGCTAAAATGGCAGGCTACGGTATTACATGTGAACACAGACTCCCTCTGTACCATTGGTGACTAATGCCCTTACGGGAAAGTCTCGCTGAACACCAAGGCCGCTTAGCTTAGATGCTCATAAGGCACGACTTGAAACTCTAACGCCTCTTGTGAAAGAGTATAAACTTTCCCTGACATAGCGCTTAGTTAGATCCGACCAGAACCGAGCTGACTTGTTGACGAGAGTTCCCCAGAAGTGGTTCAACACTGTGAAGGAATTTGAACCTGTTCAACCAGTATGTGCTTCTGCTGTAGGAAACCAGATTTTGCTCAGTTAACTGAGATTCATCGACACAGCGGGCACCCTGGAGTTAAACGGACACTATATTTTCGCACGTAGGGATCAACCCGTCCGCGTGTCGAAAAAGCAGCAGTAAGATCGGTCGCTCGGGTTGTGAACAGTTCAATAGATCCAGCTGAATGCGATGGCAGAAGGAGAGAGCTTCCAAGCGCGGAAACTTGGAGTCGTCTGGGAATGGACATTACACACTATAACGGTCGCCATTTTTTTAACTCCTGATCGATTGCGGCCCCACACGGTTTTCGAAACCACTAGTTCGGCAAGACGCTGCACACGTAATCCGCAATTGGAGTCGGTGTTTTTTCGAACGTGGTGCCCCGGTAGAAATCCTGGTTGATAATGACACTGCATTCCGCAGTCAGCAATTTAAACAATTCATGGAAGAATGGGGCGTCCGATTCGACCAAGGCTGCGCCTATAAACCATCTGGAAATGGTATTGTAGAGAGGTGTCATCGACAATCAAACGGATTGCCGCGCGAAAGAGCTGCTCTATTATGGAGGCCGTGTATTGGTATAACGTTACACCCAGGGATGATGTGTCTGCCTCTTCTGCGCCCGCCAATCTGCTGCATTCGTACAGAATTCGAGTAAAAGGAATTGACATTGTGCCTTCGCCTAACCGGGCGACTTCGACCGGGTATAAAGAAGGAGACGGTTTGGGTAAAAATCCGCACGGACGCTGCACGCCAAAGTTTGTGAAAGGTCGCGGTCACGGGAATAAACAGTCCGCAATCTGTAGTCATCGACAGGATACCGCGACACGTGGGAGATGTAAATCCCACGGCTCACTTCATTGTTACCAACGGATGATGGCGGTGGCACAACGTCAGGGGAGTAATGAATGCAAAGAACCAAGCTCCAGTGCAAGCAGCAGCGACA